ACAAGGAGAGCGGACTACGGCTGCACTCGGCACCGTGGTCCCAAGTGAGAAACAGTCCGGCTACGGGGCGGGAGGCCACCCGTGATGGGCACAGCGGGACCCCCAACAGCAGCAAGTATCAAAGAGGGGAGAAGAAAAACCAACAGCGGGCACGGCAGATCCTGCAGAGTCCTATTTACAGTGCACCGGACCCCGGCCAGTCCAGCCTCTGGTGGGAAAAAGTGGCCTGAAAAAGCAGGTGACATAAAAAAACCCAACACGTGACGCACCTCCCGTGCCGCTGGCTTGTGCGAGGTGGGAAAGCTGGAGCTCGGGGTGTGAATAGAAAAGCTTTGGCAGCTGGGATGGACTGGAGCTCCCCTGCTGCCGGAGTAGAAACAGGCCAGGAGGGGCGGGTGAATGGATGGGCGGCTGGATGGGGTGGGATTTTGGGATAAAGGAAAGTGTTGTGAGGGTTGTTTTTTGTGGTTGTTTTTTGTTTTTGCATTTGAAAGTGCTGTGGCACCTCTGCTCCGTGGTGCTGCGGCACGTGCGTTTGGAGTATTGCTGCTTGGAGAGGAGTCCCCGGGCTTTAGGAGCACGGGAGGTGCTGCTTGAGGATCTGTCTCGTCTGAGGAGCTATTCTGTCCGGGAAGCGGATTTTGAACTCCACGATCAAGTCTCCTCGCTGGCTGGGGGCCTTGGGGAAGGGCAGCCCCTCCCCACGCAGTCTCTTCACTGTCCCTGGCTTGATGATATCGTTGCAGGGCAGCGGGATCACTCGCCCGTCAATGGTGGGAATGTTCACGGTGCAGCCGCACAAGGCCTGTGGGGGGAGAAGAGGAGACAACGCCATCAGATGGGGCTCACACCCCAAAGCATCCCCATGGTCCCCCCATCCCTTTGGGTGACGCTCAAGTGCATCGGCTGGCGCTCACCAGTGCGAGCCTGGGTCCCCCCTGGTGCCCTCCCACCAGGAACCGGGCTGCAGGAGAGGAAGAACACCCCATCCCCACCACCAGCGAGCGCTCTGCCACTCGCAGCAAAAGGACAGGCTAAATTTAGCCCCTTTTCCCAGCCTCCAGCAGCCGAAAATCCAGCTGAGATCATCGGATACCGCTGCGGTCCATCAGCTGTCACCCTAGAGAGCAGCCCGGCAGCTCTGCCCGGTGCTGGGGTTATCTATAGCACAGCCTGTGTGTCCTGTTCTCCCCCCAACAAGAGCCCCAAAAGGTGACACCGGTGTGGGGCAGTGCTGCAGGCACAGCACTGAGCTCTTCTAGAAGCCAGAGGGGCTGGTCCCTGTCACCAGTCCCTCATGGTATCACATCAGCTGTCACCCTAGAGAGCAGCCCGGCAGCTCTGCCCGGTGCTGGGGTTATCTATAGCACAGCCTGTGTGTCCTGTTCTCCCCCCAACAAGAGCCCCAAAAGGTGACACCGGTGTGGGGCAGTGCTGCAGGCACAGCACTGAGCTCTTCTAGAAGCCAGAGGGGCTGGTCCCTGTCACCAGTCCCTCATGGTATCACAGAATGGTTTGAGTTGGAAGGGAGCTTAAAGCTCATCCACTTCCAACCCCCTGCCACGGGCAGGGACACTTCCCACTAGAGCAGGTTGCTCCAAGTCCTGTCCAACCCCTGTTTGGTGGGCACCAGCCTGTTG